GGAAGGAGGAAGAAATAACAGCCAGCCGGACCCTTCCCTTCTCCTCCACCACCAAGAAAGCCCTCGCTCTGTCCACCAGCCGTCCTCCTCTTCGAGGACACGTCCCCCACTTCAGCCTCCTGTCCAGGAGGAATTCCTCAAAGCGTCCTCCATTTTGAGCAGGACCAAGAAGCATGCATTTACATTTTCTATTAAGTGTCTTTAGCTTTCGTTTTCTGTCCAGACGGCATTCCCCAAAACGTCCTCCATTTTGAGTAGGACCAAGAAGCATGGAACCCCACTGGGTGACCCTGGGCAAGTCACACTCTCTCAGCCTCAGAGAATGGCAATGGCAACCCCCCTCCGAACAAGCATCTCAAGAAAACCCCGCGATGGGTTCATCGCCTCAGGGTCGCCTTAAGTCGGAAATGACATGAAGGCACACAACAACAACAACAACAACAACAAAGAATGAATTTACATTCATATTAGCGTTTTCGCTTTTCTTTGGCCATGACCTCCTTTTTCTAGACGTCCTACATTTCGCGGCACCTGATCCTCCTTTGTAGTTAGGACATTTAGTCACCCACTCTGCAAAAGCAGACAAAACAAAGCGCACAAAAAGCACTCCTGGGCCACCAGGCGTCCTCCTTTTCCAGGACACGCCCTACACTTCAACCTTCTGTCCAAGGAGGAACCCCAAAACGTCCTCCATTCCGAGCAGGGCTGAGAAGTACGAATTCACATTTCTAGGAGTGTTATTCACTTTTTTATTTTCTGTCCAGGAAGAGTCCCAAACCGTCCTCCATTTTGAGGCCACTGACCAAGAAGCATGCAGTGACAAGTCCAGTTCTCGAGGAGGAGTGCTTTTAGCTTTCAGTCCCAAAAGGTCCTCCATTTTGAGCATTTTCCAGGGAGTGTTTTTAAAGCTTTGTGTATGTGTGTGTGTGTGGTATCAGGTCCCCCTCCATTTCGGCGGTGAGGAGGAGGAGGAGGAGGACCCCCCGCCGAGGCTGCACCCCTCTTTCCCCGCTTCCTTACCTGAAGAGGGTCTCCTCCTTGGGCTCCTTGGAGAGGGACGCCGAGGAAGAGGCGCTCCTCTTGTTGAACAGCTTCTGCAACAAGGTGGGCGTGGGGGGCATTTTGAAGGGG